AGCTCATCCACTACGTGCATGAGGCAACAGAAGCTTAAACTAAGTTGCGGACTCAGAGGGCTAGGAAAAGACTGGGCTGTTGCTACGGTGCTAGCCGCTCGTTCCAATTCTCAAAATCCGAAGATTCGCCTGTTTAGGTCACGGCAACAACACCCATGCATACTCTGGACGACAGGAGCACGACACCTTCTTCGNNACAAGTTCTTCGAGGTGTGCAAGAACTTTGATGCGATCATTGTGCGATGCAATCCTGGTCAGATCAAGGCTGACGGAGGCCCTGTGGGTTGTTGGGCGCATGGGGGCTGTTTTCGTCCGAGTCGCTGAGTTGCCCGTGCTCATGCAGGTGACCAGGGCAAATTCGACGACGGCATGCGTGCCTTGCGCAAGCAGGACATCCAGGCCCGGCACCGTGAACTCCTCATCAGCCCCGACAAAGCACCCAATAAAGGGCCCTCGTCAGCTCAGAAAGAAATTCCTTCCGCCCTCTTTCTCTCCTCGGACGAAGCAGCTCCCAGGTCTGGCCCGCCCCGGACGTCATGGAGTTCATGGGCGCCAAGGCCAGGCCACGCCCGCTTCGAAGCAGCCGGCGCAGGGTTTTGGCTTGGGAGTTGCGATGCTTTGACGAGATGCCTCCAGGATGCGCTGTGCAAGATCGCCGACTTGAAGATCGGGCTTGAGGCCCCTCTTGGTGCTCCCGCATCTCTAGTCTCGCTTTGCCCTGAGCCGGGTGCCAGAGCATCACTAGAGCCAGACATGCTTGTAGTCGTCTTCATCACTTGCAGAGGTCAGAGCAATGGGATTCAATCTCTGGGGTCTGATCGAAGAACCTTCAGACTTTGCTCTCTTCGAAGCGGCAGTCAGCGGAATGATGCGCAGGACACACTTGCCTACTACGATCCCGCGGATTTCGCTACAGGCAAGCCGTCGAACCCGCGATTGACTCGATTTCCTCTGAGACGAGTATAGGTATCATGCACAGTGTCACTACACTACTTGGTTGGTTTCTTCAGCATCTTAAGGATGTTCCCTGGCCTTGCGGCCTAGAGCCCCGAACGACACTGTCAATGGCGGCTGGTTTGCAGTTTGAGGGCCGTGGATGCTAGGTCTTGCCGCTCATGGTTTGGCGTAGGACGCTTGGGAATCTATCCCCAATGATCCCTGCTCAGTTCACATCCCAGACCATGACACAATCCATCCTCTCGCTGCACTGCGTGGCATGGCAGAGCCGCGGAGGTTTCAAGAAGACCATGGCTTTCCAGCCGCGCGTCATCAAGCAGCGCCTTTGTCTGCTCTGGAGCTTCCTGCTCGCCGAAGGCCCCGCCTAATCGCCAAGGAGGAGAGGGCTCTTCTTGAAAGAAAGTGCCAATAGAACAAAGGAGTTTTGTTGTAGCCGAGGAACCGCGGGTCCTCTGGCGAGGGCATCTGGATCATCAAGCTGAAGTCAGGAGACTACTGCGCCTTGACTGAAATCCAAAAGGCACGAAGCTCAATCTGAGAAGCTCGCCACACCTTACAGCAGAGAGTTGTGGGGTTTCGGTGGTTTAGTGTTTTGTTGGTTTTGAGGTTTCCCCAAAGCTTCCTGATGCCGGCATTGAGGCAAGTCCTATGGCGAGCGCTCTTGCAGTGATGACGAGATGTTGGACCTCATGGAGGTACTCCCTTCATGCGGCTTGTTGAGGTCTTGAGTTAAGGGATCTTCACAGCAGAGGCCCGGCACTTTCCACTGTGGTGGAGGGTGAGTGTACTGGGCTTACAGGCTTTACAGTCGTCGCATCGCCGAGTAATGGTACGAATCTTACGAACACTGGACAACAACCACTTTATTGTCAGTGTAGTAACGGTGCACCGGTGAATGCAGTGGCCTAAGCCTCAAGATCTTCTGTCTCAGCCGTAAGCGCTTAGTCGAGGACCCAGTGCCCCCAAAGAGTCTGCCAGGCCAACGACAACCACTCCGAAGAGTGCTTGGGCTTTGCATTCTGACGAGGTGTAAGGGCTTGGTCGCGGGATGCTGGCTAAGGGGTGCCTCTTTGGGTTCATGGTGTGCGCAGGAACTTCGTTTTCAAGTTTCAAGTGTACGCTGCATATCGGCATCTGCCGAAACTCCTACTAGACCCGACTAGTTTGAAGCTTCCTTGCTGAGCCAGTCCTTCGGCTCAGGCAAGCTTGGAGGGCTTGGGAAACGGAGGGCCCCAAAACGCACAACCGGGAAGCCGGAGCCCTTGAATGGCGACTGGTCAGACAAGGCACACCGTCGGAGAGTTCATCGAGTTCTGCGTCAGCGGCCGTACTAGTGACATGGCCATACAAGACGTCGACAGTTTCTGGTTGTTGACAATAAAGCTGCCTTTTGGGTTAGAGAGGGTTCCTTCATCACAGTGCAGTGTATCCAAGGCAAAAGCGGTACTTGGACTTCCAAGGGCGTTGGCAAGCATCTCGACGATCTATGATGCCCAAAGTGAAATATCATTGTTTGATATTGATATCATCTACTGACTCTAATTTTCGCGAGTACGAAACTTGAAGCCTCAAGCCTATTCCCTATTGTACCATGTAATATCCCAGAATGGCAAAGAGTTACATCCTGAATGAAGCCCGACGCCGATAACCTAACCTGTTCGATCTGAGACGAGGCCAGAAACGCGAGAACTTCTCAAAGGCACAGCCATCAGGAAAACACCGCCATCTTTTGGTTCCAGTTGGGTTCGATCCTTTTTGACATGCACTCAGTCCTCCACGCGGGCGTCCAAGGGGCAACTCTGGTGACAGAAAGGACAGGTAGTTGCTGAAGTTGTCAGAGGCGAACCCAACCCAGTCCTTTCGGGGTTTGGAGTCCCGCAAGGCATGCATGTCATGAGCACTTACGGGGAGTTCGGGAGGGACGGCAGAGCGCAGGCTCTGATTCCAATTGAGGTTGAGGCGGTTGGGGGTTTCCCCTTGGGGCGGTTCCCCTCTTCTTCCTCTGGGATCAGCGGACGGGCAGCTGTCGGTGGCCGTGGCACCGCTCATGATGACGCTTCGGAACGGGCGAATTTGAATGCAGGCTTTGGTTCAGGCCGTCGGGTGTCTGTCTCAGCACGTTGGTCGGGGAAGTGACAGTAGCCGGGACGTGAGATCACAGCCTTCGGGAACTCGTGGATGTTATGATCGGATATTAGCCGACGTTGTGCACTCGGGAGAGCGGCAGAGTCGGCGGATGCAGCGAATATGGGGAGGACTGCGGTTAGACAGGTAATTCGGCGACACAGAGCGGCAGCTAAACAAATTTAAACGGACGTTTTTCGTTAGACAGGCGGCGAAACGGATGAGCAGCTTGATATTGAGGCCGAGAGAGATCGAGGCATGGCGCGAGCACTTTCGTCGCACACAAGCAGGGGTGGGATCGGTGCCGGAATCGGCATGGGCCCATCTGAAATCGTGTTTGGAAATTGCACTTTGATTAGAAACCCACGCGTGAGGAGTTTGAGCGAGTGATTCATCAGATGCAGAATCGTAGGGCGGCTGGGAGGATGGGTTCATGGCTGAGTACCTGAGGTATGGGGGCGAGTCGGTCGGCTACAGCTGATTTTGCGTCGCTTGCAGAGTGGCGAGTAGGTTTGGTGGTGCCGTTGTGAAACGCAAAGGTGATATGGCGCGGGGTAACTTTATGAAGCGTGGGCACCAAAGCTATGGTGAGATTGGTCACCAACAGGGTTGGCGAGATAGTCGGATACATGGTTGCATGAAGCATAGACAGGATTCAGGGCTGGCCGGGCATTGGAAGATGTGCAGCAAGTATGGCGCAGAATAGCTGAGGAAGTGGTGCTACTACGATTGCTTGATATTGAAAAAGCTTATTCGAGGGTTTATAGGCTGGCAACGTGGAGAGTTTGGAAAAGGCGGGGATGCCCGACCGGGATGATCAAGGTGTTGATGTTGAAGGCGATCCATAATCACACGGACATGAAGGTTCGGGCGCATGGAGGGCGCTCGCCCACGTACGTTCCGGAGTGCGGATTGCCCGAAAGGTGAGACATTTACCATGATGCCGTAAGCGCCCTCAAGCAGGACAGGTTTAAACTCAGGTCGTGGTGCTCGGCGATTGTGGGTATGCAGCGTCACACGTGGATTGCTGGGGCTGAGGGCCCTATATATAAGTTGTCGGGACTGCAAAGCAAGCGACTGATGTGCGAGGGCGCCGTGAGGCTGCGGGCGTACGTCACGTTGGGGGACGGGTATCGGACACGGGAAGAACTTTCGAGGAAACCGGCAACCGCAGAGCGGCCATAGCTTTAAAAACGGCCGTGGTTGGACGTTTGGCGCTCCGTTCGGCTCACGATAATGAAAGCCGTGATACCAATCGCCTCGTCGACGGCCAGACCACGAGCCTGCGATTCAATGGATATCATTAGGATCGAACAGATGGTTCTGGCCAGCTTGCGCAGGTGTTTTGGGGTGAAGTATCAACAGTTACATGGCCTACATATCAGCAACGGTTGGTGTGACGACCGCAACAGATGCTGTTTGGATGGTTCCAAATCAAGGCGCTGAAGTACAATACTTGGACGGGGCAGTCTCGATGGTTGCAATGGTGTTTACGTGAGGCAGGTATTCCGCGTGGGGACTGGTTCCGATCAGCGCAGAACCAAGGACAGTGGAGACACAAAGTGCGTGAAATTAAGTTGAGCTTTCGCCACGAGACAAAAAGGGGAGCTATGGTAGTGGGCGCCTAGGTCAGCCAGTTCCGGACAACACGGCTTCGCCTGGCGAGGAACGTTTCGCGAGGGCGGTGCAAGTAGAACAAGGAGATAATGACCTTGAAGCTTTCGAGGAAGATGACGAAGCCCCTCCCCTGTCCCCCTGCCACCCCGATGGGTACAAATGCTGGGTTTGTGACAGGGTTTACCAAAAGAAACATGCTGCAGCAGCACTATGCAGAGGAGCATGAACATGCCATATGCGACCCATCCTTGGTGACCACGCGAGTGTTCACATGCTCACAAAGTGTAATCAACATTTTCCAACGTTGAAGAAACGCGACATGCATAATTGCCCATTACGCAGGGCATGACCGCGGTTACACAGGATAAACACTAAGGAGACCCCCCTGTCCTCCCTTCTGGGGATGGGCAAGTGCCCCCGAGCAGACACTTGCGTACGGACGGTTCCCGAGGGCAGGACAGCAGTGCGGGGTGGGCGTTGGTGGCGTAGAACGAGCCGCCCAGGCACCCGGTTGCACCGATTACGTGCTATATTACCATGCATTAACCGAATCTTGGGACACGGTTTGGTTGGGAGCCGCAGTGGAACGAATAATACAGGAGAGCTAACAACTATTGGGGAGGCATGCATCTGGTTATGGGATCATATAGAGGAACGCGCGGAGGATGGGAAGCCTTTGCGGGCAGTCATGCACTACGACTCGGAATATGCCAGAGATCTAGTCTTGCAGTGTGGGTATAGCAACACCAAGAAGTAATCGTGCGTTGGCGGAGAGGGTTGCATCTTGGGCGCAGAAAGTTCGATCATGTTCGATCCCTCAGATCGTTGGATTTCGACATGTGAAGTGACATGGGCTGACGTGGTAAATCGGTGGTCGAGTCTATGGCGGGTCGTTGTAGAGAGGGTAGGCCCGGGGTTGGTTTGTGCCGAGATCGACGCGCCCACAGTTCGAAGGTAGTATCTGGGTTGTTTCTGCAGGATCGGGCAACCGACGTCGCTCACTGCTACTACTACTTTCTTGTTCGATTCTGTTTGACATTTCTTCTGGTCGCTCTATGGGTCTTGCTAGTTTATTTCAAGCCATTGTTTCAGAAACGCCATTCTCCACCTAATGCCCACATACATGCTAGCCTGTTCTGACCCATAAAGAGCCTTGACTGAACGCCGAAACCTAGACTGATTACTCACCAAAACAGGCTCCCTGAAATTTCCTGCGCTTCACCCTCCTCCGACTTCTCAAGGTATTTGGAAGGTGGCAAGGAGGCCGGTGGTCAGCTCGTGGATCAGCGCTGCTGGGTTGAACAATCGAGACGAAGGTGTTTGAAGAAGCTTCGGTTTCCGATGAGTTTGAGAGATATGGATGGATGAGTGGAATAAAGATAGGCTTTTCCGGTTTTCGACAGCACCGTCAACATCACCTCAGCCCCATCATGCCGGTTATGATCGCCGTCATCATCGGGAAGAGTCCGGGAAGGGCTGGAAGGAGGTTTTGAACTTTGGAAGAAAGCTCAAGATCGCTCTGGCTTTGGAGTCTTTCCTCCCAATCCCAGCTGAGGTTTCTGCCCTCGAATTGTCGAAGGCGAGCTGCGCTACAACATGGCCGCTCTCTTGCAGAGCCGGCTCGAACCGAAGAGTCGATCAAAACCGACGGCGGCCGGCCGGGCCTGGGGGTTGTTTCGCCTACGCCAGGAGTGAAGGTGGCTTCACAGGAGGTGGCTGCAACAGGCCACAAACAAGCGAACCCAGACGGCGCACCATGTGAATGACATTATCAGACTTTTAACTGCCAAGATGTCATAATTGTTCTAAAGGCTCCCATGTGGAATGCCCGATCAAACAACCCTATGATGCCAATGCCTCACCACTTCCATCCAGATGGCGTGCAATTCGAAGCAGGCAAGCAAGCCGATTTTTGGGTTTGGTAGGTTTGGTGGATCAGCCAGTTCATGCAGTCATAATGTTGCCTAGGACAGACGTATGCCGAGGTGGGTGACTCGCTTGTCGGCATCATCCACAAGAAGCCAAAGGAAGGCCGTTTCCGAAAGCTAGCGGTCCTCACATAGATATTCTAGGGTAGTAGGACCGGTAGGATGAAGTAGTAGAATCCACAGGATTCCGGTTATGAAGCCCTGAACGCCGAGGTGTCGTGAAACCAGCCTAGCCGGTGCATTCCTTTGCAGATCCAAGCCCGGAACGACAAGCCCGGACCAGCCGATATGTTGCAAGGCGGCATCAGCGCCGTCGGCGGCACTGGCTCGGCCGCTCGCTGGGAAAGAAGCATTTTTGCTGTGCTGCTATCAGGGTAGTTCTCTAAATTAGGGTCCTTTTTTGGTGTCCTTTTTTCAGGGTGCCGTACTATATTGGGGACACCCTTAGAGAAGTACCCATTAGGTCAGACGGCGTTGGCGTTGAGGGTTCGGAGGTCCAAGGAAGTCGGCGGACCTGCATGGACTGCAGTGAGCTCCTCATGTTAGGACTTTTTTGGAAGGTCTCCTTGGACTGGGCTTTCTAAGAATCTGTAGCCTCATGAAGGCTCGCATGCCTGCCGAAGCTCAACAACCTGCACTGATGCCCAGCAGCTGAAAGGTCTACACTTACTACGGCCCCAACGAGAAGCGTTTCAAGCGCCTCTGCTGTCAAGTCTACTTGAAGTCATGGTTTGGATTTCTCGGCTCTTTGTCGGAGCCCAGCTTGGGGTTGATGCTTCCGCTCACAGACGTGCCAGCATTCGGAGAAGTCCCTGCAAGCATTTATAAGCCTTAATCGCATAGACCGTGTAGGGCAGAGGCACAAGTGGGATCCACGCAGGAAAGTCCAGCGGCTTGGGATCCGAAGTTGAAGCCATGCCATGAGCTCCAAGCATCCTGTCGTTCCGCAAGTCCACGTCGGGTCTCCTGCTTTGTGCTCGTCTCGTGGGTTTGGGCTTGCAGGTGAGGCTCTGCGAGGCTTTTGTATCTGAAGGCATTCTTCTGTGCACCAACGGCTCGAACCGCAGGCAATGTCGCAGCCGCGAGGGTTTACAACCTGATGGATCGGGCTCTGCCAAGCTGTGCTGAGGAACCTGACGAACAACTTCCTCAAGGAAGACCTGCCGAAACTCTGCAGCACTGTGTGCGCGTCAGGTGTGAGGGCTACACTCTGGAGTCTGGAGGATGGATGGGCAGAGCAGTTTCGTCAACTTTCATTGTGATGCTGCACATAAGGCAGAAGGCATTGCCACAGCGTCGCTGTTGGTTTGGTCAGTGCAGCTTTGTGCCCGGGTTTGTCGACCCTGCTCACTAGAATCCTTAGCTTGACCCCTCAAAAGCGGACCCTCCAACACGAAGGTGTTGAGGGCCGAGTCTTCTGGGGTGTTTCACGCCAGGTCGGTGTCGTTGTTCCTTCAGGGCCCTGCTTCCCGGCCGCCCAAGGAAGATTATGCCAGCACTGGGCCTGGGAGAGGACCCGTCATGCGAAACGACGGGGTAGCAGAACATCAAGGGATGTTGAAATAGGCCCGGAGCAGTAGGGGATCAACTCAAATCCTTATTCCGCCCCTAAGACAGGGACGCGAAGCCAGCTTTCATCTGTTGACACTTTTACGGTCTGGATCGTTGGCTGAAGGTTGCGTTCACATGCATCCTGCATTTTTCAAGCCCTTCCGGGTGATTGATACGGCTGAGCTCCTGCGCCTGAGATCTGCTCGACAGCGCGCTTTTGCTCAGAGAGCTCCTGAGGAGCCAATCCCACTGTGGTGGACGTCTGACTTCATCAACTCCTCCCCGGAGGGCACGGAAGCCAAGGACCTAAATGCCAGTTCTTTCGTAGGTGGTCTGAGAGATCATTAGAGGGTACCTACATTGGCTAGAATCTAGAATTTTCTTCTGGATGGGCAAAACATCCTCTATACTTGTCTCACACCTACAAGTAGCCGCCTCCTCGCGGGGTTCGTGCCCTATCCAGGAAGTCCAGCAGACTTTGGTTTTGGTATGCTTGGATCCAAGGGCCTCCCTTCGTTTTGCACAGGGAGGCGACACATGCCTTAATGCTTGCTCGTCTGCAGCATCCCGAAGCACCGCTTTGTGAAGTTTCTGACTTCCAAGCGCCAGGACGAGAAATGGATTGTTGGTGAGTTCAACTGCTCTTGCGTTGGTATCTCGAAGTGTCTGCCGGCCTACTGCCCCTTGGTTGATAATGTTCTATAGGCCCTAGCAGGGTGTGTAGGTTCCCCGTGGGAGCCCAGAGCCATCTCGAGGGGCGTCACTAGAAGACAACATGTATCGTCTCGGCCCCATTGGCTGCTTCGACAATTTCGAGTGTGAGCCTCAAGCAGAGCGAAAAGCCACAAACTCACTTCCCGAAGCCCTCAAAGATCCCTTTTTCCGAATACTGTCTGCAGGCAAGGATGACACACCGAATGCCTGCTACACCGACATCCCCAAGAAGGACCTCTCGGAGGCGAAGAAATGTCCAATTGGCTTGCTTCGGGTGAAGTGCTCTCGGAGCCTCAGGGCTGATCTCGGTCGAACTCGGATCTGCGCTTTTCAGTAGCAGGTGAAGCGCATCAGCGATCTCCTTGGCAAGAAAGCCACGGACATCCTGGTCACCGAGGCCAAGAAGAGGACCAGGGTTGAATCGGACGTAGACTGGCACGAAGATGCGAACTGGGCAGCTGTGGTTTTGCTTCCAAGAAGAAGGCGCCTGCGGAAGCCGCGTCCGCGTGGAACAGAACCGTAACAAAAAAAGGGCGCGTCGCCTGTGCGGAGATAAACCACAAGAGCTGCGCCCGGCTCCAGGAGCAAGCCAGCAGAGGCCGGGCAGTTCTTCTCGGATGGTCCCGTGGATGTCTCCTCCCTCACGAAAGTTGTGAAGGACTGACGCGAAATGGGGTTGCTACTGCTCAGACTGTACCAACGTCTGCACTCGTAGGGTAGGAGAACACGAGTTCAAGCTTTCATGAGTCACCGCCCCGCCCGGGCCCGGAGTTTAGGAAGGGGCAGCGGCAGGACGATCAGGGGCTGCTCCCACAGCCGAGGAAGCCCAGGCGGGCTGCGCGTTCTTTTCTGATGGGGGACTGCTAGGGTGGGCGGGGAGGTTCGGTTTGCATCTTCGGGGAAGTTGCGCATGTTGTCGACGAGGAATACGGGCTTTGCCAAGGTTCAAGACGGCCTTGACCGGCATCTACGTGCGCAGCCAGCCGCAGCTCGGCAGAGCGGGGAGCCACCATTGTCTGCGTGTGTGCGCGCTGATAATGATATAATTTAACATGTTGTTATGTGAACAAGTACATATTTCACCCTGCAGTGTTCTGTGCCGTTCTCATGCTTTACATTACACTCATATGCAATACACCTGAACTGCAATGCTGCAGGGCCATGAAAGTCCACGATGGCAGTATGTAGCAATGTCTTTGAACACATGCATCTCCTAGGCGACCATGGTGAGAGTCTGAGCTGTAACGACTTTTCACGCGAGGTTTCTTGTCTAGCTGAGAAAACTGCAGGTTTTAGGCTCCGAGGTTCGATCGTAGAAACCGATGGAAATGCTTTGGCTCCAAGAGCAATGTGAACCTTGGCATATCTGAGGGGCGGTGGAACCGACAAGAGCTTCAACGGCCACCGTTACGACAGCATGGCTTTTGCCAACGGAATCATCCAGGACCCGGGATTTCCACCTTCAAGCCACAGCTCAGTTCTCTTGAAGCTCCTCTGGAATTCTTGAGCGGGGCTTTCGGAAGCTGTCCCGAAGGGTCATTGTTGTTGCTGTTCGTGCTCTGTCCTGCTGCTCCTCTTTCCTCTATCCCACCAACGGCATCGCATCGGAGAGGCCGGTATGAGCTGCCAGCTGATCAACTACGTGCATCAGGCCCTCTGGCACGAGCGCGCGGCTGGGGTGGATGCGGGTGCATTTTTCCAAAGGTTTCTAGAGCAAGATGTTGAGTTCAGGCGCACTATAGAGCTTTTCTTGGCGTTGCAGGAAGCCCTGAGTGTCCCCCAGTTCTCTTGGAACTGCCACCTCATTAAGCATAGGGCCGCGAGATGGAGGCATTGCTGGAAGGCCCGAGTGAATGTTTATGCCAAATGACGTGACAAAGAAGGCATTACCCTGACAATGGCCGTGCTCCCAAAGCAGCGGGCGCCGCGCGGCACAAACAACCCCTGCATGCGGCTCTTGTGCTCAGGAGCATGACAAGTTCTTCGATGTAGTGAAGAACTTCGATGCCATCATCGTGCGATGCAACCCAGGAGCCTCATTTCTCGAGAAACAGAGACTCCACGGCCTCCCCGTGGCCTCCCGTCCTCGAGTCCGGGCTCGTTTCCCGGACGAGCACACGTGGCACCAGGACAGATCAAGGCAGATGGCGGCGACCAGGGCAAGTTCGACAACGGCATGCGTGCGATCCGCAAGAAGGGAATCCAGGTGCTGCTTCGGGGCCAAGTTTGCAAGGTCAAGGTTGAGGGTTCTGCTCTCAACAACAGACTTCGCGGTTTTTGTTAACGATGCGACATGAGATGGTGAAATGCGACCCGAAACGATAAAATCTACGAAAAAATACCGTCCCAGAGAGCCAGTGGCCGGCCACCTGAAGTGGAAAGAAACAAAGATGTTTTTCAAGCATTCCTGCTCTGCGCGAGTCGCGAATCGCTCGCTTCGTGCAGGTGTGGCCAGCCCCTGATGTCATGGAGTTCATGGGGGCGAAGGCACGGCTCAGAGACAATTTCCGTTGCATGTCAAGTGTGACTTCTGCCCGCTTGCAGGACGCACTCTGCAAGATCGCGACCTTGAACATTGGGCTCGAGGACGCAGCGATTTATATAGGGCTTCAGGTCCAGTGCTTTACCTGCGTCCACTCGGCTGTCATGACTGCACGTAGAGCTCGATCTTCAGAGTGTGATCCTGAGGATACCCTGGCCTACTACGACCCCGCGGTCTTTGCTACAGGCGGGAGAATTTCATGACCTGAGAAGGGCTGTGTTTGCTGTAGCCTTTGAGCGCTTCTTGTTGTGGTCCTTCGGTCGGTGGCAGTGGCGGCAGTCGCAGACACGGTTGTTGAGAGGTTCGATTGTCGTTTGCATATACCCGAGGTTTCAAGAAGACCATGGCATTCCAGCCACGCGTCATCAAGCAGATGCCTGGCTGCACAACGCCTCTCAATCTCTAAGCCGGAGCCCCATGCCTTCTGTGCTCCCCCACCCGGCCAGGAACCGCGGGTCCTCCGGAGAAGGCATTTGGATCATCAAGCTCAAGTCAGGCGACTACTGCCACCCGGCAGCGCTTTGCAGGTTGCGATGTCGAAATCTGATTGGAGGGAAGGCGTTTCCTGGGCGTTCGAGTCGCGCGCCTGCGGTGCCTGACAGAATCCTTTGGCCCAGCACGGCGACTCGTAAGCGAAGATGAGATCTTCGATATTCTTGGAAACGCCCCAGTGCCACTATACTGGCCCCAGCCCAGACGAAGGTCACCGAACGGTTCGCTGTAACCTTCAGCCGTGAGCTTCCAAAGACATCCGCAAGTTAAGGGTGTTAAATTCCATTGCATCTTGTGCTACTCATGCCACCGAGGCAAAACCTACGGCGAGCGCTCGTGCGGTGACGATGAGGTCTTAGACCTGATGGAGGCCACAGTATTTCTGCATCCCAAGGGAGCAGGCACAGGGGTCAAGCTAGGCTGCAGGTCTTCGGGTGGAGGATTTAAGAGACCTTACTGTAGGATCCTGGCAGGCGAACGACAACCACTCAGAGGAGCACACTGTCGCAGAGTTCATTGAATTCTGTGCACCTGGGCCTTGTCAGAGGCACCCAATTAAGAGATGTGCCCCGAAGCGCAGTGACGTGCAAAGTGCAAAGGCGACCAGCTCAAATCCTCGAGGACCTTGCACCAAAAACAACCGCCTCCGGAGGGCAGGGCAACGGACCGCCCGCACATCGCTTGAATCGGCTTTTTCAACGGCGGGTTAGTAAACAGCCCCAAACCCAGGTTGGGTTGCCGAGGTGAGTGGACCCCAAAAGCTGGCATCCACTCCGAGGTGAACGGCCGCACGGGCAAGTCGGGCGAGTGGACCTCCAAAGGCGTCGGCAAGCACCTTGCAAGGACCCATTTAGGGTTTAGGGAGAGCTCTTCGGAAAAGCCTGCAATGGACCGACGTGGGCAAACACGAGCGAGGCTTAAGCGATTTTTCTTGTGAGCTCAAGGTACCTCGAGGGAGGGAAAGAGGCCGGAGGCCAGCTCGTCGATCAACGCCCCTCGGCAGCTCCTTAGACGTTTAGACACATTGAGGTGCTCGTCCTGGTTCTTGGGCTCCTGAAGAATGGGAATGGCTGTTTTCTTCGAAGACTTCGGGCAGTCAGTGAACCGGATGTGGGTGCTCGCTCCAGGCTTTTGCCCTCGCATTGTGGAGGGCGAACTCCGCTACAACATGGCTGCCGGGCAGGAAGTTCATGACACCAGGTCAGAAACTATACACTTCAGCGCATGGAGTCTGCTCTGTACAGAGGCTAAGGTGCCGCCAGCCTTTCGACCCTTTAAGGCCCCTTTCAGAAACGGATTCAGGGTCCTGAGAACTCAGGTGGCGGATACCTTGGTTGGCATCATCCACAAGAAGCCGAAGGAAGGCCGGAGAGCATGTAGCGAAAGAGTCCCGAGATATCATGATACCTGTCGGGATGTTTGATGCCCAGCATCGCGTGGAATGTGGCAGCGCCTGGATTGCTTCGGCAGGTGGAATCAGCGCTGTCGGCGGCACCGGTTCCGTGTACACCTTCTACGGTCCAAAGGCGGGGGGATCTCTCTGCGTGTCTCTCTCTCTCTCTCTCTCTCTCTCTCTGCATCTCCATCGGCTCGTCGAATCGGCAAAGCCGGGAGGAGAAGAAATTCGCCGGCTTGACCAAGAGTTTCCTAACCGACGACCTGTGCCCCGGCAAGGGACCGGATCGGGGTTGCCTGGGTTCCCTCCCTTCGCAGACGCTAAGTGCCGGGCTTCGGAGCTGTGTGGATTAAAGCGCCAGGCGTGCTTCGGGAGTTGGTGGTCGGCTCTCGTCCTTTCTTCGTGGTTGAGGCCACGACACGGAGCAGTTAGGAATCCGCAAAGCACGCGAAGCAGTTGATTGTGCTCTTCCCTCGCCAGCAGTCCCGGATGCTCTGTCACCTGAGGCATGCGATATGACACCTTACCTTACACTGTAGAATGCGGAATCATGCGATCTTCAGGATAATGCTGAGCATGCCAGTCCTAAGCCTGTCCTCGAAGTGCTGGAACCCCGCAAGCAGAAAGGCTGAAGTCACCAGAAAGCCTCAGGATACTAAGTGCCTAAGCGCAAGCAGGTTGGGGATCACAGGATGAAGAAATCCGCGTCCGAGCCCAGGTCGAAGATCATGCCATGCCTGGGATTGGAGTCCGACTCTTGTCGCGTGGTGAGGGGCAGGGCGGGGGCGTGGCAACAGTGGGGCCAGCCTTAAGCACTTGGTGTAGGATGGATCGCATCTAGTGGGACAGGCCAGGGTCTTAGGGTTCAAGGTCTGCACTTGGCCTAACCTACTGAGTGGCAGGTCTCGAATTGATCGTTGCAGAGCAGCAGGGCAGACTAGCAGCTTTGCGTTCCGGGGTTGGAAACGATAGCTGGTTGCGGTCTCAACAACGGCCCCACACCGGCGTGAGACTACGGCCACGCGCCGCGTCTTGTTGGCCTGGGAGGCTGTCTCGTAAAGCACTTAAGGCACAGCCTCTTTGAGGCTCAAAGCACCCTTGGACGCTTGACGCTTTGGAATTGGGAAGCAAGCCGAGAGCTGAGCCTTGCACTGAGGAGCCAATCCCACTGTGGTGGACATCGGACTTCATCAACTCCTCCCCCCCGGGCACCGACCCGAAGGCAATCTCCTGTCCTGCTCTTGTTCGGTAGTTGGCCTGTGCCCATACCATGCCGTCCCATTGGTGCGAATGCCTTTAGTTCTCCCAATTTTGTTTTGTCCCCGCTGCTTCTTGCCGCGGTTGGATTGAGGACCGGGCTAAAAGGATTCGTGCATGAAGGCTTCCCACAACATGAACTCGTCGGTTCGGTGCTGCCAGGAACGCCAGTTTTTCTTTGTCGCAAGCGCGAAGCAAACTGGGTGCAGGACGAGAAGTGGATTGTGGGAGAGTTCAACTGCTCTTGCGTCGGTATCTCGAAGCTGGTCTGCATTTCTGGGGTTTGGAATGTGATGCAGAAAGTGTTTATGGGAATACCATTTACGCCACCATGCGCCACCGTCTCGGCGAGTAATTCTACCACGAAGGGCATCGATCCAAAAGTCTCAGAGACGGCTTGGTGTCGGCTGTGGTCATGTACGGAGGGAGGAAGAGCCGTGGGCTGAAACTCAAAAGCCGAAACTCCGAATGCCTTAAAGTCCCACACCTCAGGAAGTGCTTGCCGGCCTGCGTGACACCGGAGGCGGATAAAGCGCGGCAATCCGAGCATTCCCGGGATGGGATCTCTTTTTCTACGGTTCTGGGGTCCAGAGGTTCGGAAGAGCCGTTTCTCTTTTCTCTCCATAGCTTGCGAAGTATGCCGTCTGCCTGTAGCACCCGGGCTAGCGGGCATGTCGGGAGTTCTGGGCCTGACAGCTCAGGTCCTACAGCGACATTCCCAAGAAGGATATGACTGAGGTGCGGGTACCTTGAGGACAAAAGCCTGACAGAGAGAGAGAGAGAGAGAGAGAGAGAGAGAGAGGGAGAGAGAGAGACGCGCAAACTAAGAAGCCTGAAATTTGAGGAGATGTCGAGATCGCAGCATTTACGCATGCCGCATTCCAAAGGGTGCAGACTTCTTGGCGCTTGATTATTTGCCAGGTGAAGAAGATCGGAAGTTTGCTGGGCAGGAAGGTTCCGGCCTTAGCACGAGACAAAAAGCCCTCAACATCTCTGAGTTTCGCTTCTGAAAGTAACCCCCAATTGCTTTCCCCGGTCCTATGTGCCCTGCTGAGGCCATCGGCATTTTGAGCAAGGGCGCAGCACAGGCCGACGGCTGCTTCTCGCTTTGACGGGGCAAGCCAAACCCCGAAAAGTGGCACTGAAGGGACGAAGATGCTACTGTACAGGCTCCCATCATGGCAGTTCCTCTGCTCAACAACTCAGAGGGTATGGTCGAGTAGATTTTGGCTGTTTCCACTTGAGGCTTTCTTGCCTGGTTTTCAGCAGAGATCGGGGGGAGCCTGTGGGGCCCGGTTGGGTGTGCAGCGGGGCCTAGGAGAGGGCTAGGAGTGAAGTCCCTTCCAGCCCTCTGCATATGCGACACGTTGCCAGGAGCGCCAGGACAAGCAGGTGGAGTCATTGAAGCAGATCCTGAAGTCCGTGAGTGCAGAAGGCCTGGGGGAAGATCCAAAAGCCTCAGAATAGCCCGCTCCGTGCTCCTCGCACCCCCCCACCCCCCGGTCCATCCTCGCCAAGGAAACAGCAGCTTGGTCGAGAAGCTCATGAACTGGAAGCGGAGCTGAGCCCTGAGCAGAAAGGGCGATGGCGCTTCCAGGGCACCCGCGCAGAGGGAGGCCTCCAGAGTATCCCCAACAGAGAAGGCGGCCACTGTCCTGTTCTCAATCTGAGTCAGAGAGTCTCAGCCTGGGCAGCTCGAATATTCACAGCACGTTTGAGGATGTCCTTCCCCTGTGGCACAGTGCCAGCATTTTGCCCACGGTCTCGGCCGCTCTATGCAGAGGGACGGCTCAGTGAGCTTTCGGGTGAGCCTTGGTGGTGAAGAGGCGGCTGTGAGAGGTCCGCGGCTCTAGTTTATTTTTGTCAAGCGCTTCGAAATTGAAACCGCAGGCGCTAAGGAAGGTCTTGAGGCCCAAAACATATAAATCCACAAAGAGTGCACATTGCTCTCACGTCGCCTCCGCCAACAGCACATGGCTCCCCGGGCGCATGGTTCGGGTGGCCGGCCGCCGTGGGCCCTCGGCTGGCAGGGTGCAGCGCTGGAGGCTCGGATGTGTCGGTGCCATGTCGGGTCATTGAAAAGGGGGGTGATCGGCTTGGGGTTTGTTCGGGGTGAGTTGGGATGTTTAGGGGCCGTGAGCCCGGCTGACTCTGACTGATAGGGACATAGAGGCTGAGGCTTAGGGTCCGGGTTCTCACCACGACAGTGCTTGTGCATACCTGCGTCTGCAACCCGTTAGCCTCGAGAGTCTAAGAGGTTGAGAACCCCAAGGTGGGGGCGCTAACGGGACCGCTGTGAGTTCATGTTCTGGGTCAGTCGTACTTCTCAGTAGGAGGCAGCTGCTTGGGATTGTTTGAAGCTCTGGGAATGTCTCCTGAGTTTTGCTCCCGGCACAGGTGTCCATTTTGGCGCCTTCGGCATGCTCGGCACATGATTTTCAGACCACTGTCCGGGTTGGTCGGAGATGTCCGAATGCCAACATAGCTTGCAGCTCAATTCCGTGCTTGAAGAGATGCTCAAAGTTGTCATCCGAGTCTAGAGCCCGGAATGCAGAAGATCTTCTCATCCCGTATGCATCCAAAGTTCCACAGAAGTCTAATGCTCTGTTATTCTCTATACTCCGAGCATCCCCTATAAAGCAGTGGTGTCGCCCACGACCAACCTGGACTTCGACACTCCGTGGCAGAGCGATTGGGGCCAAAATGTGGTAGAAACGCGGGAGGAAATTGGAGAGCTTTGAGCTACAAGAACTGGCAAAGAGGACATGGAAACCGAACGATCAGGTATGTAGGACGCAGCTAGAACCGTTTGCGAGAAGCAGGTAAGGAAGGAGGAAAGGCAGCTTGTCCGGCGACCTCGCAGCTCAAGGGCTCAAGGGGCCCAACATTCTAGGCCCTTAGGCCCTGCACTCCAGACTCATTGAATCAAACTTCGAACCGCGGAACTCACCCATTGTGGCTCTGGAAACCTCTGCTACGGCTCGGTCACACAAGCCCGTCTGCGGCAGTGGCTTTGACTGAAGATGCTCCCTTTCCTAGCAGGATAGCGGGCTTCAGGCACAGTTGCATTTAGGGTCCGAGCATATTATTGGGCAGTCTACACATCTCAGAAGGTGCCTCTAGAGGCAAACCTGCAAACAGGTTTGCCGCAGTCTAGGGAGCCAGTCAAAGCAGACGCCGTGCAGGCTGTACCGTTCTGTATAGCATATCGCTTGGTGTACAGCGGTAGGAGCTGGACTTGCTGACCTGTCAAGACAGAAAGAGTAGTTAACTAGTTTTAGGATGTTTAAAACACCCTTATTAACTCGATCCTGCAAAATCCCAAACCTCAAACCCTGAAAGATAAGCGCCCGACTTTCGTTCTTGTTCCAGCATAGGGGTAGCCACGTTTCCATGAGAAGGGCGTGAAGGTCAGCGCTGAACTCTTGCATTGTAACTTTGAGGGTTGTAAGGCATTGTAAGGATGTGCGAGGGCAGGGTTTTGGTTTGTTCAAGTCCTGGCCGCAGCATTCCACTCTCCGCCTTAACTGCCACAAAAGGAGTCAGAAGAGGGACCTGCAGAGAGAAAAGCTCCATGGGCTGCTGCTGCTAGTCCTGAATCCTCAAGAATCCTCATACTACCCGAGCCTGGCACCATGGGTCTTCCGCAGCCGCTTCCTCGCTTGTAAGCGTTCAAGCTCTCTTGCCCCTAACCGTAACCATAGAACAGGTTCTTCGGGCAACGATGCTGGAGTTCGTTTCGAAGTAGAATCCTTTTGTCTTGGGGCCCTTGGGTATGACTCTTCCATTCTCGGGTTGTGCTTAGAAACTAAACCCAGCTCACGGTCTACGTTCGGGTCTTCCAGTTCAGAAACAAAGATAATGTTCAGTTCAAGTTTTGCTTCGCAGAAACCGGTATTTGTGGAGACTGCGCGGTCAGAAGCTTCTTTGCGCAGCAGACGAATCCAATCATGGGGGGCCTATCGTCAGGGCTGTCAGCCTGCGGTGCGTGATGTTGACGATTGGGCTCGTTTTTGTTTTGAATTGGGTGCCTTTGTGTGTCGGCAAGCTTCCAAACCCGACCCTCCCAAAAGGATGCTCGATAGCCCAAGAACGATTCCCTTTATAAAGCCTTTGGCTTTGGGGTGAAGGGTTGTCAGTCGTATCCTGGAAGTCCCAGCTTCTATCAGAATCTCGGCCTCAAAAACCGTGGAAACTCCCGAAACCTGAACTCCCGGAGCTGAGGATTTATAGGTTTTTTTTCCTGTCATGGGGCTTGGAGATACAGAAGTTTGCGGACTTTGGGTTCAGACCTTGGCAGTGGTCACGCTTCGGGCATGGACGTCACTGCTCAGGGCTGAGGTCTGCAGGGCCCAAAACATCCCCAAACCCCAAACCCCGTTTTCCCTCCACCGTCACTCACGGAGACTCAGGCCGTCCAGCCTTCGTCGTGACGTCAGCAATCCTCCAAAAGCGGAGACCTTAGACTTAGAGACTGAGAGGGGGACATTGGGTTCGAGGTTCACTTGTACTCTCCAAGGTATTGAAAGAAACCGGGTGAGCAAAAGCAGGAACTACATCGGAGCCGTCAGCATGTTGCGTTTAGAGTTTAGAGCCCACGCAGGTCGGGGGGGGGGGTGTCGTTTAGTGCAGCGCAGTGTAGGATTTCGCGTGGACCTTGAAGCAGCTGAACGTCCCCAACACTAAGCCGCTAAGCTCTTCAAGATATACTTTGCATTCGAAAACCTCAAAAGCCCCCAGCGTTGAGCCACAAAGCAGATGCTGCCAGTTTCGGAGATCTTAGTTGGGTTTGGCGTTGTACAAATGAATACAATCTCTGGTACCTTGCATTTTGTGCCTTCGCGCGTGCGGTTTAGGAGTCACATGTTTATGTAGTCATGGACATCCGCTGCATATACACATGTATGTGTACACACACATATATATATACATAACTATGTATGTATGTATGTATGTATGTATGTGTATGTATATGTATATTATGTATATGTATATGTATATGTACATGTATATGCATATGTATATGTATATACATATACATATAGATAATGTGTGTACAATGTATCGTATGTATGTATGTATGTATG